ACTAAGGCTCCTTTATAAGTTTCCATTTTTCTCACCAAAAATATTCTTGGACACTAGCAAGATCCTTGCAAAAACGATACAGAATTAAATTTTTCAACTGTAAATCAAGTTTTGGAGTATCTCAGATGAATCAATTTATCAGGAAAAGTAAAAAAGTGTTCCACTTCCTATGTCTCACGCCCAACATTTCTGCTCACAACACTCTTTTTAACGTTCTCCTATTTACCACCAGACGTTGAATCGATCGTTTAGTTTCTATTAAAAAGGCGTATTTTAAGAAGGATTCCAATTAAATTATTAGAAAGGGTTGCAAGGAAATTCAAAAAATAATTCACTGGTAATTATTAAGCGGGGTGTTTTCTGGCTTATTTCAGAACAATTTCAAGATAATTCAGGGCAGAGTTCCAAGTTAATTCTGAAATGCATATCGTGCGAATTGAGAACAACGAATAATTAAAACCCTGCAAAAGAATAATTCAGTTTCGCTTTTACAATTTTTTGTTTCCAAAGTCTAGCATCTTCAATATTTTCTTTTAACAACCAAGTACTTTACAGCTGAAATTGAAACGACAAAAATCAATTTGCAATATTGCTGAGTGATTAAATTCTAAAAACAATAAGACGGGAAACTGAAGAAAATTATGCAGCAAATTCTTCTGTAATTATGAATCCTGTAATAAAGTGAATTCCTTCGCTTGAAGTTCAGAGAAATTTGCTTAATGTTGAGAGAACTTTCTTTGAAGTTATCAGATCATTCATAAATTGCATAGGAACTCGTTAAAGCTCCTTCGGAGTTTTTATGTGATCTTCAAGGAAGTATTGCAAGCTCTAAAGAAGTTCATCGCACTTCAGAGTTGTTTTGTGAACTTCGGAGAAATTGTTCGAACGTCAAACATTTCTAAGAACTTCTCCGAATTTTGCGAACTTCAAGTTTAACCTAGTGATCTTCAAAGATCATTTGTGAGGTTGAGGTTACGTGTTACTTAACCAGAACAGCGAGTCACCTCACATCTCACATAACATGAAATAGTTAAAATCTCTACAGTAAGCCTCGCAGTAAGCATAGCCGTTCTGAAATTTTCAGCAAATTGGTAAGAGTACTGGAAAGTTTTTAAAACCACTCTGAAGTAGGGCAGATTTCTTCAGAACGCATAGGACTTTTTTTAACTGAAGTTCACAAACCTTCTCTGATGATGATGATGATGATGTTTGCAGAACAGTTTTGAGATGTTTAGTATAATTTAGAAAACTCAACTGGGGCTATTTGAAGTTCGTTAAGCTCATCTAAATTGTCCATAACTTCTATGAAATTTGTCCAATTTGTCTGCTTATTGCAGATTGGTGAACAATGAGAAGCTGGAGAATATGACGGACTTGATAGGAAATAGATTGAATGAAAGGACTTATAAAGGAAGTAGGTTTTGCTACTCGGTATGCGAATATGAAGATGATGGAAAATACGATGCACCGTTGGTTTGCGACGATGAATAATTTGGAGACGATGGATAGTTGGGTGATATCGGACTTGTGATTGACTTAAGGGCGAGAACTTGTTAGTGATTTAAGGCTGGGTGTTTTAGACTGGTTGGAAAATCGCTGGGACTCGTTGAAGAGTACGCATGAGAGGCGTCACCTGACAATGCATACCTGCTCGAATGATAAGACGGAGATGCTCTATAGATAACGGTGAATGGCGGGACTCTGATGGTCCAGGTGGGCTTGAAGGTCCTGGCATAAATGCTCCATCTAGGTCATTTATAGAGCGTCTCCTCGAGCATCTCCCATTTTTTAATGGAACAGTCCTGCATTGTTAGGTGGTGCCTCTTGCTGACCAGTCCAAAATACTCACAGTCCACTGAATACACTACGAGTTCGATATCACATACGCGATTCGTATTGGCGCATTCGTTTTGCGAGTGGGATTTTTAACGAAAATTCTTGGACGGTCTTAACAAAAGGTCCAAAGTTACTTTCTGGCGTTTTACGTGCCACATACTGACTTGTTTTATCCTTATGCAATTTGGTTTACCATATGCTGGTTCACATACAACTAGATATGATATACGACAAGGAACTTGAACAATAATTTCATCCGAATAATGTTTTGTATCTAAAACCCCTAATGGTTATTCAGATTCTATCTTCAATCTATATTTCGTTCAGTTGAAGTTTTGTCGTTACAACTTTTTGTTCGTCTTTGCAATTATTCAATGTTTTATCCTTGCGATCTTTTGTCCTTTCGACTCCCGGACTAAAGCTGCTTTCAATTACCACTTCTTCTTCCATAATACCACTGCCAGCCAGTGGGGGTTAGATTGAAGACACACGCGGATCTAACCAATATGCTTAGGGAATTATAAAGAAACATGAATGATAACGAATTATAGAGTAAATTTAAATAATTTTCTTGAGATGAGTCTTAAAGTATTCCGAGGTAAATTTTAAAATTATATCTGGGAGAATTCTAAGATTATGCTTGAAAACTTTTGACAAAAAATGAGAAAGTGCCATTTTCATGGTTTTGAGTCGTTTAAAAGTTTAAGTTAGTTTTTTTAAAGTTTAAAAAATTAAAAACATTCGGAATCGAGAACATTTTACATGATCCGGTAACTTTAAAACTTTTTAAAAATTGTTTATGAATATAACATTTTAAATGCTTTAAAATTTAGGGCATATATATCTATCAATTAATTAGTGTGCAAGAAAGAGCACTAAGAGTAGGCGTTAGGCAGGAAGAAGAAAACAAAAATATATCTAGTGTCAAATTCTTAAGATCTTGGTAATTTATACTTAGAAGTAAATCGAACTGAGGCTGAGAGTGGAATTTTGGTAACCTTTGTAGAAAAGTAAGGAAACATCAAGGAGATTGATGTTTTTGATAATACGTGATGTTTGTATTTTCTACTTTCTGTTCAAACGATCATGTTTTAGACACCCTAAATGGTTATTAATCTATGAAAACGTACAACATTTTTGAAATTAATTGCAGTTAAGGTTGTGCTGTCAAAAACGGGAAAGCTCTGTTGGTCATTTTTGAACGATTTGTGAGTCCCCAGACTTACTCCTGAATTTCATAACTGGTACGTGGTACGACTGACTTGTGATTCTCCAAAATTTCTATAAAATTCAGTGAGCTTTTCTCAGTTTCACTGTATTTATTTTATGTTTCCAAAACTTGTCTGAGGTCCACTGATTTTTTTGTAGTTTTTTTGAACATATGTGAGATTCTCTATATTTCTTGGAATTTTCTCGGCTTTTTCAAAAAGTTTTCAAGTCATATACAAGGTGAGGTTTTGTCTTTAAATTTATTTGAAATTCTCTTAAATACTCCTCACATTTCCTTGGGCCGCTGCCATAGCGAGAGCGAAGAGGTGCGCGAAGCGTGAAATAGAATGTAAGGAATAGGAATAATATCAATAATAGCAATTCTTTTGTATATAATGCTAAGCGCGCATCTTCGCTCTCACTATGACAGCGGCCTTAGGTCCCCTTGAATGTCTACCCTAAATTTATCTGAAGTCCTCCCAAATTTCTCTGAGATCTGCTAGACTACAATGAAATTCCCTGCACTTCTCTGAATTTTATGGAAGATCTTTCACACCACTGAAGGTACCCAGTATACTGCCTATAATTGCATATCAGTCCCATATGGATTTACATCAATTTTGGCATAAACAACGCTATCCACTATCAATTGGCATCTACTGTCATATTATGTGATAAAACTACAAGACAGGTCAGTTTGTCCTATCAAGAAAAGCAATCGCATATCAGTCCCATCCTTAAATTCAATCGTCCAGAGGTTTACATGGATTACAGTTCTGCTTTCGAGTTTCCATATTTTTCGCTATAACATAACATGCAAGCTTCAATGGAACTGATTTTAACTTGAAAAAATATTAATAAATTTACTATGATTTTTCAAATATTTACATGGGAATCACACTTCGTAACTTCGACTGCCATTATCTCAAGGCCTATTTTTTCTATATGGGATTATAGGCAGTATACTTAAGTTAGAAGGTTAGTCTCTAAAATTCTCCGTGTTTTCTGGCATTCACTGATCGTTAAAATTTAGGAAAATTTCTCTGAAGAAAATATTTGAAAAGGGAAATCCGTAAAACTTGGAAAAAATCTGAGAGGTTTGGCGATCTAAATAAAGGTTCAGTGGACAAGTGTGCTTAAAAAGGATCTGACAAGTTCATAGCTTCACATGATCTTATGAAAGGTTCAAAATGATTTGGAGGTGCGCAAAAAGCTCCGTAGGAGTGTATGTACCTCAAGTGGAAACTCCTGACAAGGTCGTTGAAGTTCTTAGAGATTTCAAATGTTTGGAGGGTTTTGGAACTTGAGAAACATTCTGAATACTTTTAGGACCTTCGAAAAATTTATTCAAACACTGAGGGCCGGTTTCTTCCCATATAGTTAAACCTGGATTAAGACTTAAGCGAGACGCATTCAAACGCAAATCAAACGCATTTCCACAAGAATGCATTCTTTTATTTCTAATGTAATTAGTTTCATTTTATGATAAAAATAAAATTATGTGCCCCCACACGTTTCTAGTAGAGATCCAAGATTTAGTCTAGAAACTAAACTGGGAACAATCTTTATTCCGGGAAAAAGAAGCAGTTTATCGAGCAGTATTCGTCGACTTCGAGGAAAAGAAAACAAAAAAAAAATGCGGCACGAAAATGGGAAGGTGTTGGCAGCCGGGAGAAACATACGGGGCAGACACAAAATGGGCTCAAATTAATTTAGCAATGAACTGGATTTTATTTTATTTTTCGCTCTCTTCTTTCGCCGTACACTTGCCATGCCACCACACTGTCCATACTTTTCCCGAGATATTGCTGTCATTGAGCTCATTAAAAAATTTAAGCGATCATTCGAAAGTTTGATTCGAATTTGACGATGCAAATTGGACTAGATTTTTTCCCCGTGGTGTTTATCTCGATGTAGTTTATAAAAATAATAACAATAAAGCACTAATGACTTACCCAAAGTTCGATTCCCCAGCCCATTTTGGATGTTGTGCTGATTCTGTCGGTTCCTGCCAGAAGAAAAACAAACAGCCGTCGACGTTGACACAATATTCGTTCGAACTTCTCTCTTCACTTGATTTGCTCAAATATTGCAATTGTTTGCGATTGCAACTTTGAATTAAAAATAAAACTTTTGCTAGTTTAAAAGATCACACGCACTTTTGCAGAACTTTCTTGTTGAAATATAAAAATTGCACTAGTATTCCACGTAAAGAAAATTTCATTCAATAATCTTTCATTGATTGAAAATCACAAATTCATGCTATTTTACTCCAAAAACAAAGTATCAACCATACACAGGAATAAAATCGAGAAGGAATTTCCTTTCACTAAATTTTTCAAATCATACACAATCCACTATCAACACAGAGGAGAAACGCCCCGAAGTTCCCCCTCCTTGTGCGGGGTACCCTTCGTCAAGAAACAAAACACTCCGCCGCACACAAGAGAACTCCACACTGCTGCTGCTGCTGGTGACGACCCGCCGCCGCTCCTTCTTTCACTCCACCGTGTTTTCAAAGCTCACTCTTTCTCACCACCGTAGTAGATTCAAATGGAAGTCTGCCTCCTCAGCTCACTATTTTGGCTTGATCCAATTTTGTTTTCTAGTAGATGCGAATTTTGCACTTTGCCTTCATCCTGAATGAGGGGGACTCTTTTTTTTTACTCTTCCCGCACACAACAAACCGCCGCCCACGAATTCGCGCGGACACCACACTAGTTTTGCCTACGAAGAGGACACGCCGCACTTGAGCCCGTACTTAATATCCAAGGTGGTTTCTATTCAATCGCCATCAAATTTTTATTTTCAGAAAAACAGCTAGGCAGGGAAAACGGCCAAACGAAAAAAATCCACGCGAAACGATGCGTACGCACTACATGCCACACCAGAATCCTGACTCAGACTGAAGAAGAAAACGAAAAAACGCTAGCGGTCGCCGCTTCGCCTTCGCCTTCGCACTCTCGCTTTGCAAAACCGATGAAGAGCCAGCAGTGGCGAAATCCGAAGTGAACGGGCGAAAAAAAAAACTTGGCGAAGCGAAATAATCGGTAGTAGCCCTGTTAGCATTCTGCTGAGCACTGCACGATGTATGGCGGATACCCATTATTGGGTACAAAAATACCCATTTTCATGCAGCTAGCTAATACCAACAATCAATACGAAACTAACGATTTTAAATTGGCTCACTACTTGACTAGCCTATTGGTCCCAAGCAAACGATTAACGATTAAGTCAAAAGTCTAGTATTACGCTATGTTTGTTTTGATTCGCTATGAAAGTTTGACAGATAAAATGAGGGGTTCGTGGATTTTCTTATGTTTCGAGGGGTGCATCGATTAGCTTGGGTCCGAAGAGAGTACCAGAGCTGAGCCAAAAAGTTGTGCACGTTTCTTCGGGACTTTATGGTCTTATACCCCGTTCACATTACAGCGTATATCACGTGATATACGCTGTCTTGCAATGACCACTCATACATCTAGTTTTCACTGGAAATCCTATGTATGAGTGCTCATTGCAAGACAGCCTATATTACATGATATAGGCTGTAATGTGAACGCGGTATTAGAGTTACCTCTATGCTAATACCCCGTCCACATTACAGCGTATATCACGTGATATACACTGTCTTGCAATGAACACGTGTACATCTAGTTTTCACTGGAAATCCTATGTACGAGTGCTCATAGCAAGACAGTCTATATTACGTGATATATGCTGTAATGTGAACCGGGTATAATAGCACAAACGAAGTGACAGACGACTAACTGGCGAAGAAATCAATTTAAATAATGTGGTTCGCTGTAATAGAATTTTCTTAGAAGCTTGTGCCATCATCCACCAGATGGGATAGTATTTTTGTTTTGATTTTGCACAAAGTTGATTTTGTGTACAATAATTCTTTGACAGTGTGCAAAGAGTGTATCATTTTGTAATTTTTTTATGCATTTCAGTTTTTCTAGTACATTTGGTGAAAATGCTAGTTCAATCCAGTAGAAGTGTTGCCATGTGTTACAATCCAGTAGTAGTGGTGTTGCCATGTGGTACACTGAAAAATTGCAATAGCAGGTTAGTCACCAAAGTTTTCGAGCTGCTCCGTTTGTCACTTCGTTTGTGTTGTAACTATTTTTTTTTTCCTTTGGTTTGTTTTTTCCGTCGATCTTGTTTTCCGTGCTGAGCACCAATGCTACCGACGTGCCAGGAAGGCAGTTCCCACACCTGGACCCTACCTATCGACCCATCAACTCATGAACCGGGGACCAACGGCTTTACTTCCTTTCCGAAGGAAGGCGTGATCAGAGATGTTATGCCTCAGAACATCCCGGCGGCGCCGACTGGTATTGAACCCAGGCCTGCTGGGGTGAGAGGTAATCACGCTTACCACTACACCACCGTTATGTTGTAACTGTGCTGATTGTGTTTTTTTGTGCATTTTTGGGTGTTTTGGGGTGTTTCTGTGTCGAACATGCTATCAAAACGTCAAGTGCAACATACAATGTTTACTGGCAACCATGATTTCCACAACGCTGAAAATGACAGATCCCGCTGCGATCGTAATTCTCACGTCACTTTTCAAAAGGTCCTAAGTAATAAATGTAAACAAATCGAGTTAAGCGATACAAATTATTGCTCTTCTATCATTGTATGTGATACAAAAACATCCATCCAAATTTACTTTCATTTATTTAAGATAATCATTGATCAAAATTTTCCAATGTAGAGTTTGAAATGATGGGTACATGATTGTTACTTCGGTCATTCGGACTGCCTAACATGATTGGTGCTCATTTTCCAAAGGCGGGGCCAATCTAAAGTTAGGTACTATACTCTGAAATCTGTGAAAGGGAATCTAGTATCATGTAGACAGAACGTCCAATGTAAGACTCATTGATTATGTCATTGAGAAAAATCGTCCAATGTAACATTTCCGATGTACAACTTGACTTGTCAAAACGTCCTATTTGGCTTTTTCTATGTTGTAGCATGACATTCAAAGTAAACTTGTGATTTTATAGTTTCTTCTGAATTTTCAACGTTATTATACACTGACTGCATTAAAATTAGTATTGCAAAACGTATTGTTTTTAAACAATTAAATTAATAAATCTGTCGAACTTCAACTTCGATTTTCTCAAAATGGTGGATATGTTACATTGGTCTATTTGAAAAGTGACGCGAGAATTGTTTATTGGCGATGACGGTGACTCTGTAGCTCCTTCATCCTACACTCTTAGCTACGATTACCTAAAATTATCGGTAAAAAGTTATCGGTATTTTTTACCGATAAAAATTGTTACTTTTTACTTTAAATAGGCTATTTTTACTATAAATTAGGTAATATTTAACGTTAATTATTGGTAATCCATGATTACCGATAATTTAGGTATGTGCACTTTCTTCGATTATCGGTAATTTCTACCGATATTTAGGTATTCTTTACCGACTTTTAGGTATGTGTAGGTATGTAGGTGTATCCAATTAGCAAACGTCAGACTGTGCAAGATACATGATGGACTTTGTACTATCCTTTCACTGCACCGAAAATTCTCATTAGAAACTGTCAATATTTGCAAGAAGAAAATATTTTTCGACGGTGCCATCAACGCCAATTATACGGAACAAAACATAACGGGTGATCCCAACACGATACAAATGATACAACCGTGGTCTGTGGCCACCATCCAGTCCATTTTCGGAGATAAAAGCCGTAGTGATGTTACCGACGTACGAGATTCAAAGTCGAAATGGATTTTTTCTTTTCTTTATTTTCAACTCCGAATTGCTTCGAATAGTTCTTCCCTAATAAAAAATAACCATAAACGAACGATAACCCAAATCATTGAACTATTCCACAAATGGTTTGGATGATACCCAGAACACGCCGTTAAGCAAATTAACCATACAATTTTTATTAGGGATGTGAAGGATGATGGTGATGTGGATGGTTGTGATGGTCGGTTGATTGTCTGCCGTCTGGAATTGGGCTAACCCAACCACTGCCAATGATTGGAAGGGTCATTACTAAAACGTGAAGAAGAATGTTCCAGCGGCCGTTCCGTCAGTTACGAAGTGCAATGCTCATGTAAATATTTGAAAAACTCCTGGTAAATTTTTGATAATTTTTCAAGCAAAGACCGCACAAGCCGGGTTTGGGTTTGATTCAACAGATGAGTTCTTCGCAATAAGCTAAACGTATCGGTTTTTATCCTTAAGGCCGGCGCACAATAGATACGTTTTCAGGTTTTTTGACAGTTAACCCATGCATTATCTGTCAAAAAACCCGAAAACGTATCTATTGTGCGCCGGCCTTTAGGCCTTCTCCTTATCAATTCTTAAGCAACAAATGAAATAAGCGGAACAACCAAACGTTAACAATTTCTTTAACGAAATTTTTTCAAGAATAGAAACACATCTGTAGTAGATGTAGTAGATGTAGGTTATATTATGAATAAAATGATGCTATTTATTTGAACGTGCAACGAACTCGCTCTTCAAGCTTTTAACACAAACGAAGTGACAGACGACTTTCTCCGAAGAAATTAATTAAAATAATGTGGTTCTCTGTAATAGAATTTTAGTCCACCTTCCGCCCCTCACCGCCAGGTTCGCTAGTATTTTTGCTTTGAATTAATTCAAGTTGGTTTTGTGTGCAATGATCTGGCAGCCCTCGTTCTCGCTCGCGTTGACGTGGTGCTGTTTTCTCACTCATCGAAGGAAATTTTGATTAGAGTGAGAAAGTAAGGAACAATCAGCGCGGGAACCGTGTGCGTTACTGTAGGTGCGGCAGAAGGAATGTTGACCACTCTTTCGTTCTCACGGTGTTCTTACGCATGATCCAACGTTACGTCACACTAGATTATGCATAAGAACGTCGTGATAATGAAAGTGCTAACTTGTTTCCTTCTGCCTCACCACAGCACTTGCGATTCTCCGTCGGTTTCAGGTGCATTCTTTGTGTCATAGAGATTGCTGACGTTTATCTTACGCACACTACGTCACGTATACGTATACGCAAAAATTTTAATGTTTTCATCGGGATCATACTTTAGCAATCTCCACCAGTCCAAACACACTAGAAGTTTTGGAAGGTTCTCCCTCAGCTGACATTCGCTTAATGTGGGTAGTGAAATCCGGAACATTTTCTCACTTTTGAGCATCAACGTCAACCCGGTTTCGAATCGCATTCCCACTTGAGGTGGCACCGTTGGCAGTAATCCACCGCGCCGTGGGAAAGACCTGACTAGTGCTGGAAAATTCACCGTCTAAGGAACGTCACCATTAAAATTAAATCAACCTAATTTTCTTCGCTGTAACGTACTCCGGATCAGACTCGCTGGTGGACCGTTTTCGTGGAATCTTCTTGATCAGTTCCTCCAGACTGATTTCTTCGCCAGCATATCTAGCCGTAATAAATTTAAAAAAAAAATCGGTTTCATCCGATCCTCCTTCATTCTCACCTCCAGCACGTCGATCGCCTATTTGATTCGATGGATCTCGGCATGATTTTGGAGTAAATTTTCCTCCTTTAGATCGCCCTCGTCGAGAGCTTCCGGTTCCGCTACGGAGTAACGAATGCATACCGAGGATGGCCGCAAAAAAAAAAATATAATAAAATAACGAAATTACAATGAATTTTGGGCACATTAAAAATTTATTATTAAATTATTGGAAAGGAGAAATAATAAATTTCGTTTTTAACGATACAATTATCAATGAAAATTAATTTGATGAGATCAAATTTGTTCGACAAAAATCAATTTTTTTATTGTTAAAATGCTTAGCTTAACAAGCCCCCTTTTTTATTGTACATTTCTCATATACAATGATTTTCGTTGTGATTTTATGGTAGGGGTAAGAGGGGCATAGTGAACAAGTGGG